GTCAGCCAGTCTCAATTTTCTTATTCTTAAATAGGGACCACACTGCCTACCCTCATGTGGAACGTTGCTCAGGGTTAGAGGATTCTATTATGTAAAAATCCCATAAATGTGCTCAGCTTCCCAGAAATGCCTTCTCTAAGGACAGGAGCCAGTTCATTTGTGTCCAGAACGCGCTTTGAGGGGCCGTGTGGGTCATCGGACCGGGAGCCGAGGTAGAACCGCGCCAAGGCCGACTCAGTACCCGATAAACCCCTCCTTACGGCTCTCAGAACCCGGCCCCCTGTCAAGCGTTCCCTAGCAACAGCGTCCTGAGTCTGGCCCAAGAGGCCAATCAGCGCAGACGTAGTTGTTTCAGCAACGAGAGTGACCAATCACGGGGCGCTGTCAGAGCCACGTCCTCGAGCCAACGGCCCCGAGCACCAAAGGAGCGGTCCAGAACTGTAACTGCGGGAGCCCAGCTTCGGAGCGGACGCTCCTTAGATAAGATCCGCCGGAGGGAACGAGTGACCGGGGCGTGAAGGCAGGTCGCCGCCCTGTTCTGTGAGGGCGTTTTCCGGTTGTTCCACTCCGTGTCAGTGACCCACGACGCGACGCCGTGATTCCCGGGCTCTGCCCGCAGCGGGCCCCACGCGGAGCCAGCACCGGGCCGGCTCGGACCCCGGCCCCGCGGAGCAGTGTCTCCTCGGCCCGGAAGAGACAGTGGCCGGGTTGTAACGTTGAGGACCTGGGGCCTGAAAGCGGCCAGAGGGTTGCCCTCGCCCCCGCTTCACCCCAGCCCAGAGCTTGGCCCCGAGCGGAAGAGAAAGGGCTGTGAAGTGGAGGAGCCGGAGGCGCAGAAGGCCGTGTGCCGGGGCGGGACGCGAGAGACCCACGGCCACCCGGGGGCGCTCGGCGAAGCCCTGTAGAGGCTCGCGAGGCCCATTTTCGCTCATTTATCCATTCATTCGTAACCTACTCAAACCGATTCTTGGGCGAGAGCTGCAGACGCGGAGATTACCCACAGGACGCAAAATGCCGAGAGGGGCTTAGGGAAAGGAGGAGCTAAGATGGCAGGTATCAGGCCGAGGCTGGGGAAGGCCTGTGTTTTATGTGGAAATAATTTACCAGGACCATCTTTCCATGTCTACGACTACAGTGCAATGACTTGAACAGCTTTATTGCGATGTCATTCACAAACTATATACTTCACCCATTGAAAGAGTACAATTCAGCCGAAACCGGTTTGGCTCAGTGGATAGAGCGTCAACCTGCAGACTGAGAGGTCGCGGGCTCGATTCCGATTCCGGTCAAGGGCATGTACCTTGGTTGCGGGCATATCCTCAGCAGGGGGTGTGCAAGAGGCAGCTGATCGATGACTCTCTCATCCATGTTTCTAACTATTTCTCTCCCTCTCTAAAAAAAAATCAATAAAAATAGATTTTTTAAAAAGAGTACAATTTAATGCTTAGTATATTCAGTTATGAAAAACCATGCCACAATCCATTTTAGCACATCTCAGAAAGAAACCCCTTAGCCATCACTCCCTCATTTTCCCGTCAGCCCTGGCAACCACTAACCTACTTTCTGTCTCCATAGATTTACCTATTTGGGACATTTCATATAAATGGAATAAAAAGATATGCACTTTTATTTTTTAAAAATATATTTTATTGATTTTTTACAGAGAGGAAGGAAGAGGGAGAGTTAGAAACATCGACCAGCTGCCTCTTGCACACCCCCTACTAGAGATGTGACCACAACCAATGTACATGCCCTTGACCGGAATCGAACCTGGGACCTTTCAGTCCGCAGACCGATGCTCTATCCACTGAGCCAAACCAGTTTCGGCAAAAGATATGCATTTTTTAAAACCTGGCTGCTTTCACTTAACATGTTCTTGTGTGTATTTTTAAAAAATACATTTTTATTTCAGAGTGGAAGAGAGGGAGAGAGAGAAAAACATCAATGATGAAGAGAATCATTGATCTCCTCCAGCACATCCCACACTGGGGGTCCAGCCCAAAACCCAGGCATATGCCCCAACCAGAATCAATCCTTATCTTCTGGTTCATAAGTCAATGATCAACCACTAGTAGCCATACTGGCAAGGCATCCCTCGGTCATTTTTTCAATAAAGTCACTATCTTTAGGATAGAGTAATACTCAATGTAAAGATTACTGCAGGTTTGTTTATTTTGTTTTGGTTTTTTCTGCCAAGTTATCCTCAGAATGTGTTACTGCTTTTGTTATTCCAGTCTTCACTCCCTGTAGGCTTTGGAGAATTGTTTTGCCCATAGTAGATGCTTTAAAATATTAATGGGTTGGACATTTACTGATGTTAATTCTTTCAATCCATAAACACGGTATATGCTTCCATTTGTATCTTCTATTTCTTTTTTCAATGACCTATAGTTTTCCAAGTACAGGTCTTTTTTTTCTGTTTTATTTTTTTAATATATTTTATTGATTTTTTTGCCCCCCTCTCTCCCACACATCCCCTCCCTCCCCAGAGTTTTATGTCCATTGGTTGTATTTATATCAAGTACAGGTCTTTTACTGGTTAAGTTTATTCATAGATATCTTAATTTATTTTTGTTGCAATGGTAAGTGGATTTTTTACAAAATAATTCTTTTTAAAAATATATATTTTATTGATTTTTTACAGAAAGAGAGAGGGATAGAGAGTTAGAAACCATGAGAGACAGGGATCAGTTGCCTCCTGCACATCCCCCACAGGTGATGTGCCCGCAACCAACGTACATGCCCTTGACTGGAATCAAACCCGGGACCTTTCAGTCTGCAGGCCCTCGCTCTATCCACTGGGCCAAACCAGTTTCGGCAAAATATTTATTGTTGAAAGTATTACAGAAAAGATTTATATACCCCTATATTCATAGCAGTATTGTTTACAATAGCTAAGATCTGGTAACAGTCTGAAATGCCCATCAGATGAGTGGATAAAAAAGCTCTAGCATAGTTACACAGCAGAATACTATGCAGCTGTAAAAAAAAAAAAAAAAAAAAAAAAAAAAAAAAAAAAAAAGAAGGATCTCTTACTCTTTGAGATAACATGAAGGGACCTGGAGAGTATTATGCTAAGTGAAGTAAGCCAGGCAGAGAAAGACAAATATTACATGATCTCACTTATATGTGGAATTTAATGAACAAAATAAACTGACAAATCTAGAAACATGGTGGCATGGAACAGAGTGAATAATCTCAGAAGGAAGAGGGGAGGGGAGAAAGAGATTAACCAAAGAATTTATATGAATACCAGTGACTGGTGCACAGATTCATGCACGTTGAAAGGAAATTAATTAGGTGGCCAGCGGGGGGGGGGGGGGGGGGCGCTAGGCGAGATGGGCTGGACACACCCTGGAGCCAATCTCCCTTGGTCCCTTCCTGGCCAGCTGCACCTGGGGTGTGCTGTGGCTCGAAGGGCATCTGAGGAGTGAGCGGGGGTCTCTCCAGAAGGTGAGGCCCCTCGGTCTGGCCTGCAGGGGTCGGGCCATATCAGCTCTCTGACACCCCCCAAGGGGTTCTGGAGTGTGAGAGAACACTCTGCAAAGTTGCTGTTGTACAGAGTGTGGAACACAGACGCAAGGGTGCAGTAAACCAGATTCGGGCTGACAGTGCCCCAGCAACAATATAACCCACAGCCAAAGGTGGAATCACGTGCCCCACGAGGAATCAGGCTCCCTCCTCTCTGGTTTTGGAGTACATCATGGTAGAACCGCAGCTGCCAAATCACTGCAGCTCAGCAACTCCTGCGTTGAGCGTCTGCCCCCTGGTGGTCAGTGTGCATCATAGCTGCCAGTCAGATGGACACAGCATAACAGCCTTTTTTTTTCTTTTTTTCCATAACAGCTTTTTAAATATATTTTATTGGTTTTTTTACAGAGAGGAAGGGTAAGGGATAAAGAGTAGAAACATTGATGGGAGAGAATCATCGATCAGCTGCCTCCTGCCCACTCCCTACTGGGTATGTGCCCACAACCAAGGTACATGCCCTTGACCAGAATCAAACCTGCAGGCCGACGCTCTACCACTGAGCCAAACCGGTTAGGGCTCAGGTGGATTCTCGAGTTACCAAGCAAATTAAGGTTCTGGGAGGGGAGAGTGCCTAGTTCAGCAGCATGAATGAAGACCCCCATCTGCTCCCCCACTCCCCGCCCCCGCCCCCACCCGTTTAAATCTCTCCCTCTATTTCGCTCGCAGTGTCTTTCCTCATTTGTGGAACTGGAATGGTAACCATCACCTCACACAGTGGTGGCAAGGAATAAATAAGACAGAATGTGTACCATGTTGGGTATGTTGCCAGCACATACGAAACTCTTAACAGTAATTCCCTTCCCAAAGGGGCAACAAGGAAGTTCCCATTATCCAAAGAGAAGGATCCTCTTGGAAAGACACGAAAAGGAACCCAGGGGTTCCCACGCTCACATCCGCCCCTCGCTCGGCTAGCAGCGCTCGGACTGCCGGTGGCTAATCCCAGGCCCCTCCGAGGCTTTCCCGCCTCAAAGCTCAGTCACCGGCACCCGGGCCGGTTCCTGCCCTTAGACTTCCGTTGGCTTCGTTCAAACAGGCCGCTTCCGCCAGCATCCAATCAGAACGCTCGGTCTTCGGCCGCCGTCCAATGAGCGCGTGGGATAGGAGGAAAAGGGCGTGAAGCCCAATCGCAGCGCCATTACACTTGAGGGCAGAGAGGGTAGGAAGCCGTCATGGCGCTCTGGTCAATAAAATCGATAGCTGGAAGCTGCCTGTGTTCCAGGCAAAGGCGGTGCAGTAGCAGCGCCGCCATTTTCGCCGAAGGCATCTTCCGGTGCCTGTCCCCCAAGTTCGGGCAGGAGTTTCCTGAATAACGACGAGAGGTTTCCGTTAGCCCGCAGGCGGCTGATTCCGGTTTCCTCCTGGCGGCCCTGGGCCGCTCCGTCCCGGCACCCCGAGGGCTCCCAAGGCCCGGGGTTCGCTAGGGGCCGAGGCCGGGGACGGGAGGTCCTGGCGCCGGCTTCGCCGGCCCAATGGCACCGCCTTCCGCTCCGCTCTCCGCTCGGGGACCGGGAGAGGCCGGGCCCGGCCGGAGAAGGGGAAGGAAGCCCAGGGCGGTGAAGTTCGCGGACGTGGCCGTGTACTTCTCCCCGGAGGAGTGGCGGAGCCTGCGGCCCGCGCAGAGGGCCCTGTACCGGGACGTGATGCGGGAGACCTACGGCCACCTGGGCGCGCTCGGTGAGCCGGGTCCAATCCGCTTCCGCGGGGCCGAGGGATGGAGGAGCTTGGCTGGGGCGGGGGAGGGGCGGGAGGAGGCAGAGTGTCCAGTCCTGGACTGCGACCAGGATGTGTGTGGAGGAGAACGGGGTCTTGGCAGGAGCATATTTACCCAATTATTTATGAGCTGGACCTCTAACTGGTTCTCCTTCCCCAGGGTGCGCAGGTCCCAAACCGGCCCTCATCTCCTGGTTGGAACGAAATACCGAAGATTGGGAACCAGCTGCCCTGGACCCACAGGAGTGCCCCAGGGGATTAATGGTCCAAAGAAGTGAGTGAAAAATGCCCGCGGAGGGCCCGCAGCTTGTGGTGACTCCGTCCAGAGCTGCGGTGGCTGTGACCCAGGTTGCAGTTCACAGTCTCAGGGTACCATTGATGATGGTGTTGGTTTGGTCCCCACACAGATTCACATATCAGCTTGAAGACCAACTACTGTGGAACCTCTGTTCTCAAACTTAATTCATTCCGTAAGGCTGTTCGAAAAAACCGAATCATATTTTTCCATTAGAAATAATGTAAATTGAATTAATTCATTCCAGACTCCCAAATGATTCTGTTTTAGCCTTTCTTATCTATAGTACATGTGTAATATACTGTTTAATCTATACAAATTTATAGATACTTTAAAAGCAAAAGAGATAGGAAATTTAAATTTAATAAGAAGGAAAGGAAATGTACAGTAAAATATGAAGATTTCATAATAATAAGCAGCAACAAAAGCAAAAACAAAACAAAACACGAAAATATTCACAGCACAACATCCTGAGATGTTAACAGTGGTAAACTGATTCCTACTTTCACAGTCATGACCATACAGTTATCAGCTTGAAAGGGTTGTCAGGTTGAGAAGCAAGTTGTTCATGATAGGAAACTTCCAGAACTGAGGTTTGACTGTGTGTAGTCCTCTATTGTGTGAATAGAGAAGATACTACCCTTTCGCCTCCTTCCCAGGATCGCTGCCCCTCGTTGGAGAGAACCTGTACCTCTCTGAATTCTGTTTTGGCTGAAGGGGTTTCATGGAGAACAGCTGCCTGGGGTGCAGGGGCCTCTCTGTCCTCTGGCAGAACCCTGACCAGTGTAAGGCATACACATAGCACTCTCCTCAGGATCAAGCAAGGCTCTGATTAATGCCATTCAGGTAGAATGGCCCCAGATCCGCCCAAAGGGGCAGATGGAACTGTCTGAGCTGGAGTTTCTATATCAGATTCTCTAAAACCAGGGTTATCTAAGATTGTCAAATGGCCATCAGTTATACTTATCACTTGGGGGACCCTATCCCAGAACTATTTACCTTTATAGACGTCTACGAATGTGTATGTTTTAATAGTGCCAATTTAATGTATGTTTAGGTTTGAGAGCCATTGGGTACAATAGAGTTACGGTCCTTACAGCAGTGGTTCTCAGACCAATATGGGCATCGCTCCTGATCATGTTACAAATCAGACTGGCTCAATAAAAAACTGGGAGGAGGGCCCTGTAGTCTGTTGCGGTAGCCCTCCAAATGATTCTGATCACAATACAATTTAAGAACTATTGAGCTAGTCTCTGCTAGCTCATACCTTGTTTCCACTTCCTACCTTATACTTACCTCTTCAAAACTCTTCATTTTAAAAACCAATTTAATCTCCAAGAAACCTTCCCTAATTTTTCCCAGCTGGGTTAGGGGCTCCTGTAATTCCCTCCATACTTTATTAGTAGTATGTCACACTCAGTTGTCTGTGTCACTAACACTCCTTGAAGACGGGGGCCAAGTTATTTGTCTTATAACCTGTAAACACTATAATAGGCAAGAGCAGTAGCCCCCTATTTGTTAAGTTAATTTCTCCCGTGTCCCTGTAGAAACCAGAACCAGAAAGAAGAATGGAGAGAAGGAAGTATTCCCACCCAAGGAGGCACCCCGGAAGGGGAAAAGAGGACGGAAGCCCAGCAAGCCCCGACTGATTCCCAGACAGACATCTGGAGGTCCCATCTGCCCTGACTGTGGTTGTACCTTCCCTGATCACCCGGCTCTGAAAAGCCACAAGTGTGCCCAGAATCTAAAAAAGCCTTACCCTTGCCCAGACTGTGGGCGCCGCTTTTCCTATCCATCTCTGTTGGTCAGTCACCGGCGGGCACATTCTGGCGAATGCCCCTATGTTTGTGACCAGTGCGGCAAACGTTTCTCCCAGCGGAAGAACCTCTCCCAGCACCAGGTCATCCACACAGGAGAGAAGCCCTACCACTGCCCGGACTGTGGCCGCTGCTTCCGCAGGAGCCGGTCCCTGGCCAATCACCGGACCACTCATACAGGCGAGAAACCCCACCAGTGCCCTAGCTGCTCGCGACGCTTTGCCTACCCCTCCCTGCTCGCCATCCACCAGCGCACACATACAGGAGAGAAGCCCTACACCTGTCTGGAGTGCAACCGCCGCTTCCGCCAGCGCACGGCTCTGGTCATCCACCAGCGCATCCACACCGGCGAGAAGCCCTACCCGTGTCCAGACTGTGAGCGGCGTTTCTCTTCGTCCTCTCGCCTGGTGAGCCACCGGCGAGTGCACTCTGGGGAGCGTCCCTATGCCTGTGAGCACTGTGAGGCCCGCTTCTCCCAGCGGAGTACGCTGCTCCAGCACCAGCTCTTGCACACAGGAGAGAAGCCGTACCCCTGCCCAGACTGTGGCCGTGCCTTCCGTCGAAGCGGCTCCCTAGCCATACATCGCAGCACGCACACCGAGGAGAGGCTGCACGCCTGTGATGACTGTGGCCGCCGTTTTGCCTACCCCTCGCTGCTGGCCAGTCACAGGCGCGTCCACTCAGGAGAGCGGCCCTACGCTTGCGACCTGTGCTCTAAGCGCTTTGCCCAGTGGAGCCACCTGGCCCAGCACCAGCTCCTGCACACCGGGGAGAAGCCTTTCCCCTGCCTTCAGTGTGGCCGCTGCTTTCGCCAGAGGTGGTCTCTGGCCGTGCACAAGTGTAGCCCCCAAGTCCAAAACTGTAGCCCTAGACCTGCTGTAGAGGAAACCAGTCAAAAGGGCAGTGCCCTTTAGAATGGGAAGGACTGTCTTAAGTTCATTTCATTTCATGGAGAGGCCAGAGAAGGGAAGGAGAAACCCTAGGTCATTCGGGGCAGATTCAGAATGAAAACCCAGGTCTCCTGCCACAGACCTGACCCTGAGTATATTCTACCACCCTGGCTGCCTTACTCTCGAGAACATTAGGAGAGGTAACATTGTTTGGTTCATGTTTAACAAGCTATCCAATCCTAAAAGAATTTGTGTGTGTGACCATCAGGGTAAAATTTCTCCCCTTACACTTTAGGGGCTGTCTGCCTTTCTAATTTGCATGTAGGGTCTCCCTTGCATGCAGCCAGGAGGATCCTATTTAGAGGTGGCAGGATATTCCCCTACTCTGCCTCTTCATCCAGACCAGGTGTAGCCCCCTTTTTACAACACTCCTGCCAAGTGGTGTTCTACTCTTGCTTTAAACCTCCCTTGACAGGGAGTTCACTACCTCACCAGGCAGGTCATTTCTTTGCCGGATAGCTGTGATCTTTAGAAGGTGGCTAAGTGCCGTACTCCTCCCTGAATGCCTTGCCCAGAATATGTTTGTTGTTGTTTTTTTTTATTATTGCTTTTTTATAGAGAGGAAGGGAGAGGGACAGAGAGCTAGAAACATCAATGAGAAAGAAACATCTATCAGATTTCTCTTGCACGTCTTCTACTGGGGATGTGCCTGCAACCAAGGTATATGCCCTTGACCGGAATCGAACTTGGGACCTTTCAGTCCACAGGCCGACGCTCTATCCACTGAGCCAAACCGGTCAGGGCCAGAATATGTTTAATATTTCCTCTATGTGACAGCCTTTCAGGTTAACAGCATTTGGTCAATCATTCCTGAAAGACAGGGTTTCAGTTCCCACACGTGATCCCCACACGTGATCTCCAAACATGATCTTCAATGTTCCTTTTAAAGGGTCATACAAAAATAAGGCAGCACCACAGTGTATACTGTATAACTTCTTAGTCTGGACCTGTTTTAACAGCTCTAGATTGCATTGGATTTGGGAGGAGTGGCAGCCTGCACTGGGGTTTATTGGGCTGGAGACACCCCAAAACCTGAGGTTCTTTTTTAAACCACATGCTGTGAAGCTAAGGCTCCTGCACACTGGAAAATTGGTTCCAGTTGGATCTGGGACGTAAGTTCAGTGAGCGTTTGGTCAAGACAGATCTTAAGGAAAAGCAGGGGAGGCATATGGGCCAGCAGCAAGAAGTGAAAGCTGGACTGGCTTGTACTTGATCTGGAGGGTTTGGATTGGTTCCTTGCAGCCAGTGGTTAGAAAAGCCTAGATTTCACTTCAGCACATCCTCCCATGAGTCCTCAGTCAACATGTTTTTCATAAAATGAGGTGAGGCCATACAGGGAGGGTGGAAAGTTAGGTGATGGCAAATAAAGCAGAGTATATATTCATCAGGTTGTGTTCATGCTGCCCCTCACTTAACCCCCAGAGGGAGCAGTGTGTCTCAGTCTTTGAGAAGCCCCAGGGCACCCACCGAGGAGGCAGGTGCTCAGTAAAGCGGTACTGAGTTGAATGAACAGGCCTATCACTTGGCTGGGTTGCTGCACCAAATTGGAATTTCCAAGCCTGACTGGTCTCATTATAACAGCTAGACAGGGCATCCTGCCACTTTAGTTCTGACCTCGGCCGCAGAGCCCGGAGCAGCTGGGGAACATAGCTTTTGTCATTGCTCTGTTCTGGTGTTCAGCAAGTTTCATTGTAACTTTCTCCTTGGATGATGAGCTACTCCAAGGTAGGGGTCGGACCAGATTGGATCTCATTAAAATGTCTGTTGAATGGATTATGTTCCTTGTGGAATTACTGTTTATAAAATACTAGAGGCCCAATGCAGGAGATTCATGCACTGGGGGGGCAGGGGGTACATCAGCCCAGGCTGCATCCTCTTGCAGTCCAGGACCCCTTGGGGGACGTCCACCTACTGGCTTAGGCCCGATGCCCCCAGGGATCAGGCCTAAACCTGCAGTCAGACATCTCTCTCACGGTCCAGGACCCCTCACTCCTTACCACCCACCTACAGTGGAGGCAGGAGAGGCTCCTGCCACCACAGCTGTGCTCACCAGTCATGAGCCCAGCTTCTGGCTGAGTGGCACTCCCCCTGTGTGAGTGCACTGACCACCAAGGGACAGCTCCTGTGTTGAGCATCTGCGCGCGCCACATCCCCCCCCCCCCCCCCCCCCCGGTGGTCAGTGCACATCATAGCGACCAGTTGTTCCACCAGCCATTCCTACATTTGGTAGATTTACATATTAGGGTTTTATTATATAAAATATAAGTCTAATTCCTTAACCAAGTAGAAATTTTTACAGTTCTGATGGAGACGTGCCCTACACTACCCTAGCAAAGACCTATTAGATGACTGCCTGCCCCCATCCCCCGTTTTATTTATTTATTTTATTTGTTTGTTTATTTGTTTATTATTTATTTATTTATTTATTGTTTAGCCCCCCATTTTAGAACTGGCTCTTTCCCCTATTTTTTAAAAAAATATATTTTATTGATTTTTTACAGAGAGGAAGGGAGAGGGATAGAGAGTTAGAAACATCGATGAGAGAGAATCATCGATCAACTGCCTCTTGCACACCCCCTACTGGGATGTGTTCGCAACCAAGGTACATGCCCTTGACCAGAATTGAACCTGGGACCTTCCAGCCCGCAGGCTGACGCTCTATCCACTGAGCCAAACCGGTTTCGGCTCTTTCCCCTATTTTTTTTTAATATTTTATTGATTTTTTACAGAGAGGAAGGGAGAGGGATAGAGAGCTAGAAATATCGATGAGAGAGAAACATCGACCAGCTGCCTCTTGCACACCCCCTACTGGGGATGTGCCCGCGATCAACGTACATGCCCTTGACCGGAATCGAACCTGGGACCCTTCAGTCCGCAGACCGATGCTCTACCGCTAAGCCAAACCGGTCTCGGCTCTTTTCCCTATTTTTATCACTAGGCCAACCTATTTCTTTACCCAGGAATTTCTGACTTTCTTTGGACCTGACTGTAACTCATTAAAACTTGGGAGCCATTGGTGGCCAAGTTCCAATATGTGGTCTACAGAGGGCAGAGATGAGAGACAACTTCCTGGGTTTCCTAAGGCACTTCAGTCCCAGGTCCATTTGATGACCAGCTGGTATCCAGTAATTTCCCCCTTCTGCTTCAGGTAGTTCAAGTTTCTTTTACTTGCAACCAAAAGAATTAACTAATACACAGCCTCCCTATGGGTTAATCTCCCACCTGCCTTTATGCCTTTATATGAGCTATGAAGAAAAACTGGTCTCTTCTGATCTCCAGCCTCTGTTAAACCTTCAGTATCACTTAAGTCTTCCATCTATCTTGAGCCAGTGAATACCTTCTTCACCAAGAAAACACAAGGTGTTAAAAAGGAACTCCTTCGGCATTCCACTCCCCACCTGGACTCCAAATTTACCAGTGAGACCACTCTACTCACTTGCTGACATCTCACCTCAAGAAAGCCTCATGCCCTGGCCAGTGTGGCTCAGTTGGTTGAGTGTAGTCCTATGCACCAATAGGTCACTGGTTTGATTCCCAGTCAGGGCACATGCCAGGGTTGTGGGCTCAACCCCCAGTAGGGGACATGCAGGAGGCAGCCAATTGATTAAATTGATGTTTCTCTGTCTCCCTCTCTAAAAAAACATTAAAAAAAAAAAGTATCTCATATGCAATGCTCATCAATATAGCTGTGCCTGGATTTCATCACCTGCCCTCAGGGACTTTGCTCCATCTAGTCATTCTCTCTTAGTTTTATCATTTTTGAGTCCCTCTCTTTTCTGGAACACATACATCCAACCCTACAAACAAGCTAAAATTTATCTTTAAAAACAATAAAGAACTTGTCCTCTGGCCTCTGGCCCCATCTATTTTCAGCTACATTTCTTGATGCACTAGTCTGCATTAACTGGATCCATTTTATTTATTCTCTAACCTACTGCATAGTATTACAGTCACTTTGTTGTACATTTATGATGTTCCATGTCCTATGTGAGACACTTGATGTTCATTCCCATCTAATTTTTATAAGAACTGCATAAAGTAGGTGTTAAAAGATGCTCCTCCATGGGTGTCTCATGCTGCTCATATCTTGCTGATTATGCCCAAAATGCCAAGTCCTGTCCTCAAATTCACACCATGAGCCAATTCCAGACCTAAAGCCCCACTGACTGAGGGGAGGCTGGGTTCTGTTGATGAAGAACCATGTTAACATTGGCAAAAACAAGTAGTAGGTCTTCCTAGCCTTCTCCAAATGTACCTGCAGTCATTCACCAGGGTGGCTGGGCCCTGGAGAACTGGACATTGGATCTAAATTGCATAAACCCTGCGCGCGCGCGCATACACACACACACACACACGCACACACACACACACACACAAGCAGTCCTGTCCAGTTTGGCTCAGTGGGTAGAACATCAGCCTGCGGACTCAGGTTCGATTCCGGTCAGGGGCATGTACCTTGGTTGCCGGCACATACCAAGTAGGGAGTATGCAGGAGGCACCTGATTGATGTTTCTCTCCGATGTTTCTAACTCTCCCTCTTCCTTCCTCTCTGCAAAATATCAATTCAATATATTTTTTTAAAAATAAAAATAAAAAAGCTGCTTATCTTTAGGACTGGCATTTGGCTCACTGTGGAGATAAATTCTGAGCCCTCTGAATATTTTGTCTAGTGTTTTTGAATGCTGGAGGCCTTGAGCCATGCTGTACCAGTCTGACCAGATAAGTCTGTCCTAACAATGTGATTAATGGGGAATGCCTGTTTTGCTCTGGGACTGGAGTATGAGTAGCTGAGATCAGTGGTGTAGGCCCTCCCTGCCTGCGTGACTGACTCCCAATAACAATCCTGGACAGCAAGGCTCAGGTGAGCTTCTCTGGGGGCAGCAAATTGTATATATTATCACAAATCGTTACTGGGAGAATTAAATGCATTTCTGATCAACGCCACTGGAGAGAACACCTGGAGG